GTTGAACAACTTTACGTAGTCACAACTACGTGAAAGAAAAATGTAAGTTTTCTATGAGCGCTCATATAATTAAAAACTGTAAATAGGCAGCGGCAAGCAATAGAAAAGTACATACCTTCCCAATAAGATTGCAATGGGCAGTATAGAAGTTGGCAGCACTGACCTCAGTAACGGACCGAGTCAGACTGTGTATTGGGCAAGTTCACGGGCTTAGGACTTAAACCTAGGACTGGTTTTATAGCCAAGGCTACAATCCGTAACAATATATAAACTAGGAACTAGTCTATACTGAATATATACAACATAAACTAAAGGTCTATGAACAATGTAATTAATAATTATTATTTCATTTTGATTGATATTTGATCATTATTAACTAAACCATCAATTAAATAAATTATTTTAAAAAAAGAAATTAACGGTGTGGCGTTAACAACTGGTTTACTTTGAAAAAAATATGAACACAAAAGATAACATCTTGAGAAAATACTTCCCTATTATACGATCTTGGCTATACAAATCTCCTTGGACTTGGAGACGGGGTGGGATGGCCGAGCAGGCTAATGCGTTTACACAGCACCGGATCGCCTGTCAATCTGATATATACGAGTTTACATCTTGGTGCGGGGAGGAGGCTTTTAACTCTGGCACTAATCCTCCTCATCTCTTACCCTCTGGCCCAGGAAAATAATACCGTATAGCATAATAATAACAGGCAATGAAGGGTAGGACAAAAAAAGTCCTCTTAGACTATTGGGTTTCGTTGTTGAGTGAAAAGTACCCAATGAATAAACAATTGATGAAAAAGGTACTGCAGAACAAAGAAAGGAAGAAGCTTAGAAAAGTGTACGGCAGGTGGCAGCAGCTGAAGAGGGATGCTGGAAGGACGAAGAATTAACTTGAGGCTAGGACATGAAAGCGGGAGTACATGACAGCAGGAGAGAAGCCCACTTCACTAAAGATTAAGGAGATCAAAAGAAAAGGATACTCAAGAATTGGGAATATAATATTATTATACTCATATTCAAGAACGGGCGCAGAGCGAATGGTCTATCTGTTTATCTCAAGTTGTATATAAATTGTGTACATCGATTCTTGAGAGGAGATTGAAAGGTTTGGTAGAAAATCAATTGGAAGAAGAACAGGCAGCTTTCAGAGTATCAAGACCACATCTTTGCTCTAAGGTCAATTATAGAAAAATCATGGGAAAGTGACAAAAATATGTATTAGGCCCTTTTAGATATAAAAGCAGCTTTTGATTCAGTTCCAAGGGAAGAAATATATTATGCACTGAAAAAGAAGAACATCCCAGGAGACATTATACAAGCAATACAATCGACATGTAAAGATTCTAAGGGTGTAATAGGGATCAATGGGAAGGAATGAAATGAAAAATAATTTTATTCTGGGACTGAAGTCCCCTTAGAATAATATTGGAGTTTAAAAAATATGTACATTAGTCTGGCATGTAAGTATCATAAATATATATACAAAAAATACCTAGGAAATTGTAAGTACATATATATATGCATACAAAGATACTTATCAATATAAATCAAAAAGCTTTAATATAGACAAAGGGGTCAAACAAGGTGACAATCTCAGCCCCTTACTATATATTGTGTTCATGGATGAGATTCGAAAAATCTGTAAACGTAGGACTGAAAGAACAATTATAGGAAAATGGAACATGAGAACAATTCTAGCCCAAGCTCTCGTATACGCAGATGATGTTCTCATAACAGACTCAGCTGCAAAATTACAGAAAGTGCTGATATGTCGAGAAATCGAAGATTTACAAATAAACAGTAGGGGCAAGAATCTGGAGTTGGTAGAGGAAAATACATACCTAGGGACAGTTGTTGGAAGAAATGGAAAAATAGACCAAGAGATATCAAACAGGATCAAAAAAGCAAATGGCATCTTTTACCAGATCTGCAACATGGTCGTAGGAAAACGAGAGGTGAGAAATAAATCTAAGATCTATATATACAACACACTCTACCTTCCAACCCTACTGCACAATTATTATGTAATATTTTGATTTAGCTCTTTCAGCTTTAGCTTGTTCCGAAAAGCCAGACATTCAAAGAAATGTTGCAACTGATAAGGAGCCACTGCGTTCAATTCCTCCGAAACACTGTTTTCTTTGAGAAGTACACTAATAACGGGGTAGAGGTCAAATAAGTAGTCACATAGAAGCGACTGAAGGCATTCAATAAGCCCCCTAATAAGTAGTATTAATATTGAAGCTGGAGGAAAACTTTGTTGCTTAATGTTTTCGTGATTTGTTTGAATGGTTCTAGTATTTTGCAAAGATTTTTTAATAACTGCCATTCATTATCGGTAAGGATAGGAAGATAAATGTTGATGATGGCTATTGCCGTTTTTATTGGAATTTCTAATTCAATGAAATGCCAAATCATGACTAAAGTCGAATTCCACCGTGTTGGTACCGAGATAATTAGTTTTCTGGCTCCATATTTTCTTTAATCTGGAATCACAAAATTTAAGCCACAATTTCATTGAGCTTCGAAATTTGATTTACAATTGTTCTTACTTTGTCTAGTAGGTTCTTTATATTTTCAATATTCAAACCCTTCAATACGATTAAATGCAGCTTATGAGCCGTGCAGCCCATATGTTTCAGATTTAAAACGTTTTTTAATGCCTCTGAAATGTCATAGGCGTTATCGGAAATGGCAAAAATAATTTTGCCTGCAACTCCCATTTCCTATGTTATGTTGTGAATTTCCTCTGCCAAATTCTCGCTGGTGTGTGAATCTTTTATTATGCGGCAATCTAATAACACATTTACCAACATGCCTGCCGAAATAAAATGACTTGTGACAGTAATATAGCTGTCATCGCTCCTTGACGTCCAGCAGTCCGTTGTAATAAACAATTTTGCTGGGCTAAGTATTGATGATAATTTTTTTAGCGCTGGTAATTGGTAATTTGGGTTTAAAACTGAGGAACTTAATAAAGCCAGCGTCCAGAACTATTGAAAATGGTTGGAAATCTTTTATAAATCATAACAAAAGTTTTTCGTTAATATTTTTTTTCATATTATCACTCATTGGACCCTTAATGTACCACGTTAATTTGTGTTGACTAGGGCCAGAATTATCAAAAACCCGGGCAGGAACGAAAGCGGATGCATTACTAAGTCCAGCATCTTCGTTAAATCTTGGCGAAGAAGATTCTAGTATGATTCCAAGATCCTGTTTTGGAATTGATGATTTTTTAATTTGAATATTTAATAGTGAAACAGTGGGATGGTTTCAAACTATATGTTATTTTTTTAGATTAGATGTGGATGATTTATAGCTCAACTTGTTTTTACATATATAACACTTTGCAAATACTGAATCCACCTGTTCAAAATGTTCCCAGATAACACTTTTCTTCACTCGGCTTACTGACATATCTGAATAATAATAATAATGTAACACTAGAACACAATTAAACCTCAAACGATAACACTTGGCTCAATCTGACAAAATGCTAGTATTTTGGTGTATTACGCATGCACTTCTTGGATTTCCCCCACCAAATTCCAGATACCCTCCTATCCATTGTTAAAGTAATTGCCTTCAAAGTGTTTTTATTCTGCACAATAATGCACGTCCTATTTGAATGTTGTATCAATTTGATTCACGCTTACAGTTTATGTAAAAATATTTCTATTATTTCAGTAGTTCAATATTATTTTATTTGTTTATATTATTATATTACAAAATATATATTATGATGTTATTTATTTCCAAATATTAAAATAATTAAGAATCATTAAATCAAAAGATCTAATAAATAAATATTATTTAATTAAATTAATTAATTTAAAAATTTCAATTACCCAAGTCACGGGTACAGCGCGGCCAGTGTCTATGAGTAGAGTCGTAGCGGCCTGACTAAAAGGGGTTTTCTCTGTGGTTGGAAAGTAAAGTTGAGCTGAGGGAAGAAGACCTCAGGGAAGGCCCAGGAAGACGTGGGAGGCCAGTGTCAAGGAGGCCTTTGACAGAAGGGATATTGACTGGAGGAGGAGGCGGCAGTTGGCTCGGGATCGAGAATTGTGGATTCGGCTCCTCACACCGCTCAGCGGTAGAAGAGGAAACAATTAAGAGGAAGAAGAAAGTAATGAAATAGCTTTTTTGCGATAAACTTACTACATATTAATTAACTAATGGACAAGAGGACTAGAGTTATTATCCAACTATTGGTTAAAAAACATAATATATAACATATTAATATATTAATATAAGAAGACTTTTGTCACTGTCGCTGTCACTGGATCAGTAATTTGTCACTGTTCCGATGGTGTCACTGTAACGGTTGGACCAGTGACAGATTTTCCATGGAACGTCACATCCCTATCTGTCTAGTAGTAAGGTTATTCTCCCCACCACTTTTATTTTAGTTTCCCCTCGACTTCTCGTGATTGAACCTTTGATATCCAGATTTTCAGAAATCCACCAGTGACGTCCATCAATCAGAATGTCAGTAGTGCCTCAGAATAAAATTCCGAATGACCATGTAGGGTCCGCATAATAACCTAAGCCTAAGCCCTATGGACTTGTCGCACCAACAGGTGATTCTGTTGACCCAAAGTTGAAGCTATCCCAGTTAAGTACGCAATGGACAATATAGATAGCTGTAATTATGCTAAGTACTGTTCAGCGATCCCATAACTTGCCATTATTCGTTTTTGGCCAAATTATGAGAAGTTAACAGCTCTATTGATTCAAAAATCAGATGACACATTTCAATAAAATTTTGCCAAGTCTAAACCAAAAGAATGCCTCTGCCAAATTTTAATAAAATCTTATACGATGAGGTTCAAACCCATTCTTGAATTGGCATGTTAATTTGTTGTAGCTTAAAGCCTTGTGACTTATAAAACCCCTCAGTCATCAACGTCTGAACTGGCATAGAAAAACCCTTCTATGTATATAACCTAGGATGAATTAATGAACACTGAAGGAATGATTTAAGTTAATTCACAGGACTTGTAATATTTCATCAGCGGTCTGTTTAATAAAAACCTGTAATCAAAAATAGGAGTCAATCATAACTTATAATTAAATACTGATGTAATGTTAATTTAAAAAATAATGAAATACATCATTTACAATGAAATAGTGTATTAATAAACAACTATAAAGTCATCGCCAATAAGGTAATGTGGAGTAAGTACGCAATAAACTTTATACAATTTGACTTTAAATTACTATATTTGAAGCTGTTTTTTCCTCCTACTTTTCTTAAGATTTTCCTATGATTATTATATTTAGTATAATATAATTATTATATGTTATGTATCATGTACATACTTACTCCAGATTACCTCAACTCCTTCATATTTTAAAGTTATTGAAGATATGAAATAGATTTTTACCCTTTTTATTTATTTAATAAACAAACCTGTTCTCTAATAATAGGTTCCTGATGTTGCCTTTCATGTCGAGCGAGGTTATATTTATGTACAAAAGATTTTCCACAGACGTTACAAGAATATGGTTGAGCACCTACATGGGACCTGACATGAGAGTTTAAACTATGCTTATGCACAAATGCCCTAAAAAATTAAAGAAACTTAAGGTCCACTTGAAATTGGGTGCAGTACTTAAAAATAACTTATATAAAATGAATGAATGAAAAAATAATTTTATTCTGGGACTACAGTCCCCTAAAAATAATATGAGTTACAAATTTGTGGGCCTTAGTCTGGCTTAGAATAATAAAAAAGACTAACTAATTAATTGTAGATTGTTATTGAAATTGTACAGTAGATTGAAATTAAACAGTATACAAACGCAAGTAATTTTACATGTTTGCGGAAGTGTGAATATGGAGTAGGTGGGGGAACAGGAGTTGTTTGAAAGAATTTGTGGACTAGGATTGACGTATGGAGCTAGGAAGAGAGTTCCGAAAGGAGGTAGCACAAATGACAAAGGATTTGCTGAAGGAAGTAGTTTAATGGGAGGGGATATATAAATCTATAGGTTGAGACCTAGTGTTAAGAAAGTTGATAGAGGAGCATAGAGTGAGGAGTTCTAGGATGTAGGGAGGGTTTTCGGTTCAGAGGAAAAGGAAAACACCAAGGAGGAATTGTCGTTGGGAAGTAGGATAAAGCCAATTCAACACGGTGTACCTGAATGAAACATGGGAGCGCATGGGGATTCCAAAGATGTACTTTATGAAACAGTTCATGAGCTTCTTTAATCTTATTTCTAGCCTGGCAGATAGCCCTCCATTCCCAATCCGATTGATCACGAAATTCACTTAAAAACCTAAGCTGTAAAAACCTCAAAGTACACCAAGATACTCTGATTATTTTGTGATTCATCGATATTTCGTTTACTTAATTATTTTCTCAGTATATTTTATATTTACACATATTTATATCTTTTTATTACTTATAACTTTATTGTATTCCTAATCAACCTGTAAATATTAAACTGTATTTTATGGACACACCAAAATATTAATATATATTCTGTATTTATAACTTTTTCTAAAGGGACACTAGTCCCAGAATAATAAAACTATTTTCATTCATCATCATGGCTTGTCTACTTAAAATAATATTTACACTTAATAAAAGGCATTGAATAAAACATAGCCAACACTAAAACTAGGTACTGGCTAGTTTTCAAGTGTCATGCCTGGTTGACAGGTGGATCAAGATCTCATCGATCAAACTGTATATGGATTTTAAAGTAGCACTGTATTGACAACTGTATTCATGAGTGGTTCATCATGGTGATCTCTTCAGTTAAGGTCGTGACCTTACTAATGGAAATCGATCACCTTCTCATAATTTCGAACACATATGGCCATTTTCTGAATATTATGTACAGTGTAATCTTTATCCACCTGTTGATCAGGCATGATTCTAGTGAATTAGTATCGAAAAAACAATTTTCATCGGACAAACATAATTATAATAAAAATTTAAGTTTCTTTCTTCCCTCCGAGGCGTCTGAAAAGGAGATGGCCTCGTGATCTACTTATGTAAATATATTATCAGAGTGCTACCAATGGGTAGTTTCTCAACAAGCATTTTCATGTGATTGTATTATTACTGTGTGCGCATTTAATAGTTGTATTTTTTTATAATACAGTTGTAAATATCAATGAATAAAAAATAAAAAAAATAGTTTCTTTCTTAAGACCAGATATAAAAAACATTCATCATTTATACCTTGGGCAATGAGGGCACGTATATGACTTAACGGACGAGTGGCTTCTTATATGGACTTTGAGAGCGTCTTTCATCCAAAATGCTTTTCCGCACGTATCACAGCTAAAGCTTCTCTCTGAGGTATGCTTGAGATAATGCCGTTTTAGGGCAAACACGTTAAAATACGACTGAGAACACTGGTCACACATGAACTCTGGTCGCTCTCCGCGATGGTCTGCTTTCACGTGGCATTCCAGCGACTGCCTCTTCATGAAACTTTTCGGACATTCGGAACACCTTTCAGTAAAAAAAAAGAATACATAATTATGAGAAATCAGCTTTAAGTTTTTTATTTAATATTTAATAACAAGCTGATTTCTTAAACATACTTGATGTATTGTGAATAAGTTTAAGATACAAAATTATTCATAAAGATTTAAATTATGTGAGAATATAAAAATTACTTGAAGGGCTTTTCTGGATTGTGAGATTTCATGTGGTTCTTCAAGGTTCCTTTCAACGGGTACCCTTTGCCGCAGACGGTACAGAGCCAAGGGCGAGCATCGCAGTGATGCTGACAGCTCTTCTTATCCGGACAAGTATTGCACCTAAAAATGTTTTTATCTAAATAAAACCATAAATAATTAAAAATTAATTTAAAAGGCTGATCTGTCATTGAAATAATTATTTTCCTTATTTTAATTTTAGGTATGGTTAAAAAGTAGCATCGGAAAAAAGGCTACTCGCATGGGAGAGAAGGGTTCTCCGCAGAATCTATGGCCCGGTGTGCAAACAGAGACAATGGAGAATTTGCACTAATAAAGAACTATATGAAATGTATGCGAGGCCGGGTTTGGTCTCAATTGAGAGGGGAAACCAGATCATATGGTTGGACCACGTGTCGCGTATGCCCTGAGTCGCGATTCTTAAACGCTTGCTGGAGGATCGGCCTGTTGGAAAACGTAGAAGGGGAAGGCCACGCCTGAGATGGTTGGACCAGGTAAAATTCGAAGATGGACAATGCTCGCTCGGGATATAGGAGAGTGGCGAAGGATCATAAAAGAGGCCCAGGTTCTTACAGGACCATAGTGCCAAAAATAAATAAAAAGTAACAAGACTGAAGCTGCGACAGAAGAAGTACGCATACACCTAACACCAGCTACCTACAGCTGTTTAGAGTGAAGTCTTCTGTTTTAAATGGAGTACCTCTCCCATCTGTAAACAAATCCGTAAAGCTGTAGCCGTTGTTCACATTAGAGTGTTTTTTTTGTTTAAAAAATCAACGTGAATTGTGGAAGGTCGAATCATGGATTCTTCACCAAGACAATGCACTAGCTTTTTTTTTTTTTAGTAAATCCTAAGGGAGATGTTTATTCATATAACTTATGCAGCAGCTTATTCAAGAGGTTTCTAGCCAAGTATAGCACACCAGTGCTAGATCACACGGCATATTCAGCGGAATTTCTTTCTGTTTTTACTTTCACACACCTATATAAGAAATATATAGTAAAGTAAAGTATTGCGATCGTGAACATTTTCAAATTTCTATTTTCAACGGAAATATGCATCTTGAGGTCCTCTGAGTCCAACTAACCAAGTCTTGCAAAATGGTGTGTGTTTTAACAGTCAAGCTCAAAAACGATAAGTCGTACGAAAGTGATTTTGCATGTTTAAGGTTTTTTATATACTTGGAATATTACAGCAACTTTTTTGCCAAAATTGCAGCACTTTATATCATTGATTCAACACATTTTTACAATTTTCTTGAAAACGGTTTTTAACGATTTTGATCAAATTCAATATATCAGAGTAAAATTAAGCAGTTTTTAATATAAAGTAGGTTTTATTTTCATTGATCTTCTCGAAGAGGGCTTAAATGACTAATTTTCAATATTAGCTTCCTTTAAAGTTAACCATTTAACCACTTCACATAGTAATATTAGGTCTATTACCTCTGAAATTGGAGATAGAAAAGCAGGCCTTGAAAACTTATAATAGGCTTCAAAAACTAAACTTATGTTCAAAGATAAACAGCCAGGAGGGACATTGGAAAATAATTTAAAACATTGAGGAAGACAGGGTGCTTACAATGCACTTGGATACTCAGACTAGAGAATTTCTTACCAAGATTTATAATGTTAAAATAGACAGCTCAGGAAAACATAAACCCATTAATGGGATTAATTGTTATACTGATGGATCACTAACGACATGCGGAACTAGCACTGGCTTTTGGAGAAAGGATGAACCAGAGGAAGGCATATCTATACCACTCGGTAAAAATGCAACAATGTTCCAATCAGAAATACTGGTGATAACTCACTGTGCCTCAAAACTGTCGCTTGATGGGTTGGTGTGGAGAAAATTTCCATATATACTGAAAGTCAAGCAGCAATACGAGCGCTGGACAATTATATAACTAGATCTAACGCTGTTGAGGATTGTGCAGGAATTCTGAATGACTTATCTAAACTCAATAAGGTAAACATTGAATGGGTTCGGGGTAGCCCTGGAATTCATGGTGACCAGATGGCGGACGGACTAGCCAGACTAGGCTCACAAGAGATTCCCATAGCTCCTGAACCCATCTGTGGAATTAGTCAGTGTCTAATAAATAAAATAATTGGGGAGATTTATGGTGCTGAAGCTAAAAAATACTGGTGCTTGAAAAATTAAGGCTATTCTCATCGGTTCCAGCCATCTCATTAGTTCCCTTCCCTACTTTACCTCAATAACCATCCCATCCATTTTTTCTCTATAGACAAAAACTTAGGAATAATCTTTGACCAAAACCTCTCCTGAAATAACCATATCTCCCAGGTTACCCGAAAATCCATAACTGCCCTTAAACAACTCTTAAGATTCCGTAATTGTATTCCTCTAAGAACCAGACAGCTCCTTGTAACCTCCCTTATATTCCCCCACTTCAACTACAGCTACTTAAAAAAACAGACTCACTCAAGATTGTTCCTGGAAGAAATCTGTCCGAAAAAAAGCAATCTACTAATTAATTTGAGCAGGAACTAACATAAGAAAATTACAGCGGTATATACTCCACAGTGTAAACTGAACAAGCATATGTTCAATATCCGGATAATGGAGTCGTCTCTTTGAAAGTAGTGTGGCCAGGAGGATGAAACAGCTAATCATATATTACTTGTTGGTGCGACAGGTTTGCTGAACTGAGATTATGACTATTCAGCATTGATAGAGTGATTGATCCCAAGGCAAACAAGCTCATCAACCCAACAAGCTTACTCCAGTTCATTGAGACTGCAGGAATTACGCTCTAAAAAAAATAGGAGTGACTTTAACAGAGGCGTAAAATAGGCCTTCATGGCCGTGGACCATTCATGCCACTTGAACAAAAAAAAAATATTAATATGAAAGAATTTGATAATTAAAGGAGAAATAAGAGATCGTAACGGAGAATAGTTGTAATGGAGGAACCAAAGGAATATCAAACTGCTCGAGCTCACCCGAGCACGTCTGAAAGATTAAAACAGGCTTTCATACGTAACATCAGCTTAATACAATACAGGCTCCATAACATTATGTACTTACACATATGAGGTTTTCATAAATGCTATCGATGGTATTATTTAATATATAATTGTATAGATTACAGCGATATACAAAATAAAAATTTGTATAAATAAGGGTACTTAAACAAATAAAAATACCCACAATGAAATAAGAATAAATATAGCGTCTATAATTTTTACATTCACTTCCCTTTCGACTGAAAATATTTATTTCTGCTCAGATGGTAGTAAGTGAAAGTTGTGTGATGTGCGCACCACACCAGATTTTTTAAGGTGAAATCTTCATTTAAAGAAAAAATACTAGAATTTGTTGAAGCTACGAAAGAGAAAGTGCCAGGCATCCTTAGGCAAAGAAACATGGAATATTAAACTAAATAGAACAAGCTGATGAAATCTGGAAAAAGAATTATGTCTCGAAAAAAATGCGGATAAAATAAAATATATGGTTAGTAGCAGTTTATGTTTCTGGATTCTAAAAAAAACATTAAAACATAAAATGAGAAAAGAAATAAAGACTAGGTTAAAATTGGATAGATTTGATTCAAAATTACAACAACTTTAATACTTCTTTCAGGAAATAGAAACAGTCTCCATTTATTTATTTTTTTTCTTCTGTATGATCCAATTGAGATTGATGAAGAAGTCAAGACCAAACAGATTGATTGGAAGGTTTGGCCAAATAACAGTTAATGTTACATTTTAGTGTAAAAATGTGTTTTTGACCGAATTGCATTCTATTTAGCTTCCAGGATACACTCTTAACGTAAAGTCATGAAAAGTTTATCTATTATGCCTTTAAAAAAAGCAAGGAAAAGGTGTTATGGATCAACTTCTAAACATCTGTAAGTTTATAAAATCATATATACCATAATTCAAGCAAACCCTGCAATTGATAACCATATTAATTAATACTGATTAATTTAAAACTAAAAAGTTTTTTTAACATTTAAGAACATAAGTAAACTCCTAAAGTACTTTTCACAAACATACTTAAATAATTGATCATTTTGATGAACCTTCAGGTGTGCTACGTAAGTGCTTTTATAGACAAAGGATTTAGGACACAAACTACACGAGTACGGTTTACTTCCAGTGTGCAATGTATAATGGAGAGAAAGATTGGATGATGACTTGAATGTCTTCCCGCACTGATCGCATACAAATTTTTCATTAGAACTGAAACAAACAATATATTATCAGCAACATCAAACATCTTCAAAATAAGAAATTATTATGAAACAAATACTGGATGAAAGTATTATGAGTGTTGGGAAAAAATAGGTAAAGTAGAGCAGAATTTATAGAATATCTAAATGGAAAAAATGGGATTTCTTTGCTAAGTTACTTTATAAACAAATATAAATTTTAGTTAATAAATTATGTAAAAAATTTCAACACTCATTTATGTAATACCATTTATTTATATTGTGTTCAATAATTTCCCTTAAAGAGTATGCATAATCTGAGTTTATATTGAATGAATGAAAAAATAATTTTATTTTGGGACTACAGTCCCATAAGAATAACAGAGTTACATAATTAAGAACATTAGTCTATTAGATGAATACAAAATGATGCATAATTAATTGTTGTTTGTTATTTCAATTGTGCAGTTGATTGAATTAGACTTTGTACAGACACAAGTGAATTTTACATGTTTTCGGAAGTTTGAATATGGAGTAGGTGGTGGAACAGGAGTTGTTTGAAGGAATTTGTGGACGAGGATTGACATATGGAGTTAGGTAGAGAGTTCCAAAAGGAGATAGCACGAAGGACAAAGGATTTGCTGATGGAAGTAGTTTTATGAGAGGGAATATGAAAATCTATAGGTTGAAACCTGGCATTGAAAGAGTGGATAGAGGAACGTTAAGTAAGGAGTTCCAGGAAGTAGGGAGGGTTTATAGTTCTGAGGACTTGGAAAAGGAAAACACCAATTGTTCTTCGGTTTGTCTTTTGTCTTCGGGAAGTAGGATAAGGCCACTTCAACACTGTGTACCTGAATGAAACATGGGAGCGCTTGGGGATTTCAATGAAGTACTTTTGAAACAGTTCATGAGCTATTTTAATCTTATTTCTAGCCTGGCAGATAGCCCTCCATACACCAAGCAGCCATAGTTGAAGTGGGGGAAATATAAGGGAGGTTGCAAGGAGCTGTCTGGTTTTTAGAGGAATACAATCACAGAATCTTAGGAGTTATTTAAGGACAGTTATGTATTTTCGGGTAATCTGGGAGATATGGTTATTTCAGGAGAGGTTCTGGTCAAAGATTACTCCTAGGTTTTTGACTGAAGAGAAAAAATGGATTTGACGCTTATTGAGGTAAAATAGGGAAGGGAGCTAATGAGATGCCTGGACCCAATGAGAATAGTCTTAGTTTTATCAGTATTCAGCTTTAACTCATTTATTTCAGCTCATCTGTTGATGCAGTCAATATCCTTTTGTAGCTTTCGGGTAGCCCCAGGCATCTCAGAAAGGTATATTATATTCAATGTATGTGTTAACATTATATATAAAAACATATTTTATATTATATATAAAAACATATTTTATATTATATATAAAAATAGATTTTAGATTATATATAAACTAAGAGTTTCTCATACCCATGTTTCTTACCAGCACACTGAGTTAAAGTGGCTTTTCCCCTCCTTCTGAAGACAATATTTCCTAGGTACGTTCCTCTACCAAATCATCAACAACCATTGTCCTTCTTACGCCTACAACCTTCTCCAGTTCAAATCCTCAGTCCATTCCCTGTCCACAAGATCTTGACCTTCTAACCTTTACATGCCTTCTCACAGATCTGCCTCATTTCAAAATTCCTTTATTGTTCACTGTCAATTTCTGGAATTCCCTCCCTATCAAAATTCGACATTCCATCTCCATATCCACATTCAAAACCCTCCTATTCCAATTCCTATCCCAAAGACAGTGAGATAGTTGCTAACCATTCGAGCTGATTTTAATAGAGAATTTGATACAATTTTATTTTTTAATTCTTTATTACTTTCTTAAAAGTGTATACTGGTCTATCAGTGCAAATAGCTTTAAGTGTCTTGTCATAGTATTAATTGTTTTGTATATAGTTTCATTTGTTTTGTATATAGAATGTTTACCTTATATTTTTTTTTATATTATTTCTTTTTTTCGATTGATTTTATTTTGGCCAGATGTGATCTTTTAATTTTGTCCTATTTTGTTATTCTCAAGGGACTGTGTCCCAGAATAAAGTTATTTTTCTATTCTATTCTATATGATGGTCTTTGGACAGGATTGTAATGCATTGCAATAAAATGCATCGCATATATGCCATCACAAGTATAAATGTATGTATACATTTATTCTCAATACGTGAATTATTATTAAAAAAAAATTAAAAAGAAGAATGTTGAATAATAATAAATTTGTATATTGCACTATAAATACTTCGAGTTGTAGAACCCAACAAAACATTTCTGTATTGAGTAAATAATTATAAAGCCTTTATAGAATTTGAAAAAGCAACTTATTAGTATTAACAAAAATATATGAAACCCTAATAAAGTAAATAATAAATCCAGTAAAAGTAACAAACCTATGAACAATTCTTATATGCCTGTTGAGGGTTTTCCTTTCAGAATAAGTTTTGTTGCATTCTTTACAAGTAAAAGGGACATCGGAGTGAGTCCGAAAGTGGAAGCTGAGGTTAGTTTTAGTCTTGAAGGATAAGTCGCACAATGAACACTTGAACTTTCGAATGTTTATGTGCGCCCTCGAGTGAGTTGCAAGATGCGATTTTTCCCTAAAGACTTTTCCACAATCGGCACACTCATATCTTCCTTCTAGCTTTTTGTAACTGTTTTTATTGATATCTTTTGCATCAGGCTCTTTGTATGGCTTTATCTCTTCCCTGAAAAAAAAATTAGATAATTCATTTTAGGTATAAGTTCACAAGCACTATGTTTAGTTGGCAGATGGGTAAAGATTACATGATCACTACAGATGGAATTACATTAGCAACAGATTGATGAAAATTATGCTCACTCAGGCCACAAATGTACCCCCAACAGATCCCTAACTCTTATAGTTGGGGGTTTACCAAATAGTGGTCATGGTCAGTGGAGATGGAGCCTTTTCAATCATTCGAATAATTTCCAGAGATTGGTCATCTTATACTTATGGACAATACACTACATTTGTGATTATATGTACGGTATGATTGATATAACTTTGACCAACTTTAACCAAATGTGACATTTATGAACTAGTGCCTCATTTTATTTAAACATAATTATTTATTTATTTTTAATACTTTAACATATTGACTGTGTCCGTGGTACTTTTCAGAATTTCAATTTAGCTGCAAATACTTATAGTGGATCTACAATAAGTTTGAGTAGAGGTAGAGAGAGATGCGTAGTGACAAAACATTTTCCTGCCGATCCCCCACTCTTTTCTACTCATTTCTACATACTTCTACAAACTTTTTTACAATTAGAAATTTCTTTAAACAATTTTCTTATCATTTCTTTTACCAATTTTTTGTTTACTGTGTCCGATAAACTAGGTAGAGGGAAAATTACACACCTTCAGACAAAAAACGTAATTATGTTTTGGGGAGGTGGACCTTGAATGGGGGAAGGCTGCGCGAACTCCCTTCCTCTACACGCAAACTCATCTTAGATCCACTATACCACATAGTTGGGCAGTCAACGTGTTAAATAAAATGTAAAGGTAAATTTACTTTCATTCATCAAATCTGCAAGCGCCGGACTACCTGGACTGCAATTGGAAACTGGAATACGAGAACAGTCATTGTACAGAGCTTTTTATATGCGAATAACATTGTCCTCATAGCCGATTATAAAATGAAACTACAGCAAGCACTGGTAAAATGGAAAGAATAGCAGCTGAGGAAAGGTATGCTGGTTTAAAGTACTGGTCATAGTGAGAGAAGAACAGGGAGACGTCTTATCGGTCTGCAACAGGGAGATTGTTGAGATAGTAAAGAAATACACCTACTTAGAGACTGTAATTAATTAATAACTCTGGTAAGATAGATGATGAGATTCCGAACAGAATATCCAAGGCAAATCAGGCACTAATTGTATTCTCGGCCACCATAAAGAGGACAACAAGACCGAGATGCAGTATATAATTCTGTATACCTGCCTATTCTCACCTATGGCAGAGAAAGCTGGACAGACATTACAGTCGCATAACAACAGTGGAAATGAAGTTCCTTCATAGATAGGAGGGAAAAACTAGGAAGGATCGCATTAGAAACAAAAATATAAGAGAGCAGCTGGAAGTACCTGAGCTCAAAACCACATTGGAGAACAGACAACTCAAGTGGTTTGAGCATGTCTGCCGCATGAACGAAGACATGGACCCTATAAAGGTATTAGAGCCCCGACCCACTAGGATGAGACCACGGAGGTGTTCCAGAGTTTCATATGAAGAGTTCAGGCAGAGTAAGAGTCTAACAAAATGAAGCAATTAAGCAGAGACGAATTAGACTAGATCACATAAATATGCTACAGGAGGGCAATATATTGGTTTAAATAATGAGAGTGGGAAAAAAGAAAAACATGACAGTAAAGTAGCTATTATTTTAAAATTATGAGAAAGTTTTTATAGAAGAATTATAAAACAAAAATAACTAAGGAAAAACTTTCTTGAAAGTTGACAAACTTTGTCCAAAACAGAATGTTAATTTTTTTTGGAAGTCTGGAATATTAGTAAAATTTCTGAAAAGACTTTAATAGTATTGGCTACATGTATTATAATTAAAATAATAGAAATGGTGAAATGTCATTAAATCTATGTAAACTTGAAACTAACAAAAAAGTTTTGAAGTGATAATAAGAGTAAAAACTTTTTAACTATAACTAAAATAAATAAATTTTGACAAACTCACCCGAGATTTTGAGATGGATTAGTATTCAATGCACATACATTTTGAACAATTGACTGGAGAGGAGTTTCAATAACCCTGTTTAGTTTGATTTGTCTCTCTTTCCTTTGGATTTTAACTTCCCGCAATACCTTCGTGAGACTAGTTTTATTATATATTTCAGATTTATCCTGATGTTCGACTGGCCTTGTATTCGAATTAACATGGTACAGTAAGTTTGTATTTAATGGTACCTCAACCACATCTCGTTTGACACTGGCCTAATCAATATGAATCTATAGAGGAAATTTATTCAACATAATCAATTAAATAAAATTAATACCTCAAAAAACAAACCTCAGGTGCATCTTTCATACCGATTTCATCATGATAAAAACTTTCGAAAGAACTATCAACTATTTCAGAAATCTTGTTTTCAGTATAATTCATATTTTTATCATTTAACAAAACCATATTTTCAGATATAACAGCCCCAGTTTTATCCATTTTAACATTTTTTGAAAATTGTTTCAAGGATCAACAAGCAAGGTTTCAATAAATATCACAGTTTTCAAACAAGAAAACAAAAAAAAAGGAAATTAAAAAAAGGAAAAAGAAAACAGTTTCCAACTGTTTCAGAACTTTTCAATAACATTACATGCGAAACACACGCAGTTGACATTAAATTTTTTTAAGTTGTGATAATAAACTACAATGGATACATTTGTCAAATTAAAAACAACGAGATAAACGAAAAACATTCATAATTACAGGAATACACCATTTAAATTCCATCGTAAACAAACCAACCCCACCCTCGTAATTTGATATCGAGTCGATATAACATCGACTCTCGAAGTTAACGATTATCGAACATCAATAACAGGAATCGAGTTAAAAGAGTCATAAACTTTTTTAAATAAGTATGAATTTAAATGTATTGAGAAAACTTATTACGAAAAAGTTCACACAATATAAGTTATCCACAAAACCTTTAAGATAAAAATTATAACACAAAAAGTTCAAGGTTCACCAAAACTTTTTGAACAACTAAAATTAAAATGTGGGTTCAACAATAACTTTTTTGTTCTTATTTTGGATTAAAACATTTTTATAATAGGAAATTAGTGGGTGAATGTTTACTGTATAATGGTATTTATTTTAATGATAAAATTATTCATTGGAATACTGTTTCTAACCTATCATTTCATTCTTCTCAAATCAAAACAAGTCTAGTCATTATCCCTTCTTTTCAGAACACTTTGTTTTAGTTTTATCTATTTCTTTTGAGTTTTGAGGTTCAGTGTGAATTACGATGGTGCGTTAAAAAAAAAAACAGATTCGTTCGAAGATTTTTCAAATACGTTGTGATAGCCAATGATATTATATGCAACTGTTGTGAAAGAATAATTAAAGGTAATTTTTTAACAAATTTGAAAAATTATATATTTAGATTTCATAAAAGTGTTTTTGACGAACTATAGGAATGCGATAGCGACGTGATTTTTTCTCCTAAAAATCTTTTATGAATAAGTTTCAGAATAACTATTTTTATTAAAAAAGTAATTTGGATAAAAAGTTTTTAAATAACTTCTTCAAAAAGTTATGATAATGAAAAAGTCCAAGTTCAATAAAAACTTCATGTAAGAGAAAAAAAAATAAGTTTAAACTTTTTAAAAATAGAAGTTAACTCATATTTTTGATCTCTGAATTATAATAATAACATTGCTATTTATTAAATTATAATGGACCTCCTAATTGATATTAAAATTTCAATTTGTGAATGAAAAAATTCTATGTAAGTTTTGTTCTGGGTTTATCGCCAAAAATATTTAAATTTTAAATACTCCCCTCCCCAATAGTTAAAAATCCAAAATGTTAATAGATTAAAGAATTTACTTTAAATAGTGATTCTTGAAGTCCTTTTAAATGTGATGACACGAATAATTTAGAGATAATTTTTTAATTTTTTTTTTCATAAGACATGATTATATTTTACCATTGCGGGAGGGGGGGTTAAGGGTTTTTGCCCGAAACGTTCCCTCGTCGTAATCCGCTTGCGCAGCTACCTAGATCGATATATCCTACAGTGGCTTTATAACATTAATATTATATTATATAATATAATATTATTAAGCCACTGTAATATATCCAACTAGACTATTACTAGTCTTCAATGTTGTTCCAATTGATGGTACACTTTTCAGGAGAGAAAAGGATTTTTTGACCATATTTTTTTTTTGTTTAGAATAATTTAATGTAATCTATGGAACAATGTTGTTCAGTTGTGAGTTGGATTATCGCTGTCGATTCCTAAAATAATTACTCGAGTGTTTCTATATCAACAGTGATAGTACAAAATGCATTCATACAAGATATTATTCTTAGAACGGAATAATAAATTATTTTTAGTAAATTATAACGGCCTATATTCGTTCGATTTTTTAATAATATGGTTTTATAGGAACGGATTGTTTTTCACATGACATAAAATATTTTAATTGAATTTTATAAAGTTTGATTCAAGTTTATATTATTATATTTAATAAAAAAAAAAAAAATAAATAAAAAAAACGGGTTTCATCTCGAACGGAATTATCACTTGATTTTTTTTTTTCATTTTTAAGAAATAATGAAATGACTCCGGAAGTGAGGAGAATATAGACCGGTGCATTTCATTTTCTTTCTTCGTAATTTTCAATTAATTGAAAAAGTCTTCAGTTTCATTTGAACAAATCAAAGCCTTCTTCATTTTCTTGTATTCGCGTCTTAACTACAATCGTTCTTATTAAAAGGAAAATTAAAAAAAGAGAAAAGAAAACAGTTCCCAACTGTTTCAGAACTTTTCAATAACACGACATGCGAAAAACATGTAGTTGGCATTAATTTTTTTTAAGTAGTGATAATAAACAACAATGGATACATTTGTCAAATTAAAAGCAACGAGATAAACGAAAAACTAAAATAAAACTACATTCGTTCTTATTTTAATCTCAAGGCAAAATTATAACGAAAAAAAATTGCTATAACATCCCAGGCATATACCTCTTTTAAATATGTGATTTCACTTTCTTACTACTTTTTGTTTTGAAACTAAGGCTGTTGACACAAATACACTCTATTCTACTCCATGCAGCCGCTAGATGGAAAGGTGTCCCCGATACCATGGCTTATAAAATGCCTATGGTATCCCTTACCGTCGGAGTGCGTTGCGAGTGATAAGTGCATTCCGCACAATTTCATATGAAGAGTGGGCGGGGTGGCTGAACGAGCTAATGTGTGTGCACAGCACTGCCGTTGCTCGGCCACCTGATCTATGATACAATGGATTTAAAATAGTCACGAGTTCGCATCCCGGTGCCGGAGGAGTCTTTTAAGTCTACAGACCGCGTGTCATCCATCATTAATTAACTTTTGATATTTTATTATTTATCTTACCTTGACCAAATCTAATCAGAATTAAAATATTTGCATAGTTCCAAAATAAATATTGTAAATTCTATAATTTCAAACAATGGTGCACTTGTTTTTGTCCCTAGTTTGAAGATATGCGTAGCCAGCCAACGAACAGATTCGCCAGCCTGTGCCGCGACATCCACTTCCGTAAGATGTCGTCCGCCGCGGACTACGGAAAGGAAGCGAACATCTACAATCCTCCGACCATCGCCGACTTGGAGCTGAGCACTCCGCAGTGCCTCCTGCTGGCGCTGCTCCACTCTTTGGTAACGGGAGACCTCATGTCTTCGATATTGCTCGCCGAGATCTGCCACCGCGTCCAACAGCTCCGTTCAAGGCACTTACGGGTTTGGCTCCTGGAAGACTTTGAATTTCCTCGGACTGACATCGAGACCGCAATGTCTCTCCTGGGGCAGCTGGTGGCAGATGGCACCTTGAAGTTGCCCACCCATGTGATGATTATAATGACTTCACTAGCGAAGAAGTACAGGATCACAAATGACTATCTGAAAATGTTATCGGAGGTATTTCTTTCATCTGTTTAACATGTAATTTTTGTTTTTATAACAGTTATTTCTTGGGACTATAACCTACAAACCTGCATATTTTTATTTAAAAAACACGAAATTAAGTAAATCACTGAAACACGAGGTTTGTACATTTATTGCATGAGTTGTTTCTCTTACAAAGATCACTTCACAGCTGAAGAGTCACTTATTTATCTCAAGCCATGGCCCGCGGGGCTTAGTGGAGGTCTCAATGTGGCCCAAAAAAGTTTAGAGACCCCTGGTATAGAATAATAGCTTATTTGACTTAAAATAGAAAACTAACTGGTTCTTTTTTTTTCAAAGCTTTTATCTTTTAAAAATTATTCTTGAGTACTTTTTTTTGGAATCAAAGATCATTTTCTATTTTCTGACTATTTAGCTAAATATGTCCTTTTAGTTCTAAGTTTAAATCTGATGCTTGTGTTTCAGGAATACCGTCGTGATTTAGCGATTCAACTTGAGAATGCCGTCGCTAACAACAGTCCCAGAGATATCTTCGAGTTGGAGAGTGTAGGAGCAGACGTACGCGGGTCGACTCAATCCGAAGAAAGACTTCTAAATTTGGTTGCACGAACCGGGAGCAGTGCTTCTATCGCAGCCCTTTGTATTCTAAAGGCAGACCTGGATGTTGTGAACTCCAGTAATGTCACTCCCTTGGAAGAAGCAATAAGATACAACTGCGCATCTTCAGTTAAGACTCTGTTAAAGGCTGGTGCTAAATTAGACAAATGCTTGCTTGGAGGTGACACCTACCTCCATATTGCTGCTGCTGGAGGCCATAATCAAGCACTGGAGGCCCTGCTAGAAGGAGAATTGGACGTGAATAGGAAGAACCGACTAGGCGAAACGCCATTAGCTCAAGCCGTTAGAGCGGGAAATGTTCAGGGTATTGCATTGCTACAAGAGAGGGGAGCAGACTTTAATGCTCTATCGGGGGTGAGGTTGGACAATGTTGATTCGATTATCCACTTCTTAGCTCGATTAGGAAATATCGAAATCCTCGAATTATTAAAAGATAAAAAGATACCAGCAGACATAAAAAATAAGAACGGCCTTACACCACTGCATGTAGCTTGCAATTCTTCGGTCGTGAGACTGGTTCTCGGGATGGGTGCGGACGTGGACGCTCAGGACAACACAGGCAGCACTCCTTTGATGATCGCAGCACGGAATTGCAAACCAGATATTGTAAGTTTTTTATTGGAAAGCAGGGCCGATCCTATGATAATAGACAATGAAGGACGGAACGCGCTGCATTACGCCGCTGAAGGCGGCTGCACTACTTCTGTGACTATTCTGTTAGATAATGGAGTCCTGGTGAATGAACAAGATAATAATGGAAACACTCCAGCTTTCTTTGCTGCTATAAAGAATAATCAAGCAGTCCTGAAGCTGTTAGTGGATAAAGAGGTTGACCTGGCACTGGGAGAAAGCTATTCCGATGGATTGTTACACCGAGAGGCTCGCAGTGGACATGCCGAGGTTGTCAAAGCTCTGCTTGATGCCGGGGCAGCTGTGGATTCGAAAGAAAAGAACCAGCAGACTGCCTTACATTGGGCAGCCAGGAAAGGTCGCACCGCAGTGGTGAGAACGCTGCTTGAAGCTGGGGCGGAGGTGAATGTTAGAGATGACGACCAATGGACTGCTTTACATTTAGCGGCTTGGAAAGGGCGCACTGAAGTTGCGACAGTGCTGCTGGACCGCGAAGC